CTGGATGCTGTGGCTCTTGCTAGTAACATCAGCGACCAGTAAGAAGGAGCAGGCTTGTCCGAGGTCATGCGCCAACTGATACAGATTGCCTGAGTGTTATGTGTCAATGCTAGTCGCTTGATTTGACACCATGCCCCCAGAAGCATTTGCGCTTGCGTAAAAATACACTCCTAGATGCAATAAAGGAAGGCTATTTGACAATATCAGTGATGTTTGCTTTAGGTGTTTAAAAGGGAAGCATCGGAAGCGATACTGCTTCCAACAATAAATGGAACTAAGAATTTGCTGGGATTTAGACTAGTGAAATAGGCTCATCCATTTGGAAACGCTTTTCTTGATCAAAGGAAACAATATCCTGAAAAGTAAAGCTAACCAATACAGATCAAATAATTTTCTACTTAGAGCATAGTCAACTAAAGTGCATTGTCAAAAGCCTTTTTCAAGTACACTTCTATTACAAGCGTACACCATTACATAGCCCAGCATATAGGGGGACATTAGTGTCGTGTATTCAATGTTTTATTGTTTAATCACATTGAAAATTAAAATTTATGTTAAAACCTTCAGCGGAGATGTACATGCGTCATCCTACAATTGCGGAGAATGGAGTGTAGGGCGGTCCTTAATATGCTGTACGTTCCGGCCCATTACAATCCAAGCTATGAGGACGCAATGAAGACTGTCACGGCTGACGAAAATGGAAAATAGACTAGCAGATGGATCAGCATTGATCATTGAAAATAGGATATATCATGATCCTACCCAATCACAAACCAAGGCATTTGCTTTGCCTTGTGACTCTGTCATTATACATCCTAAAGTTGATAAATGATCACAACTATGTAGACAACTGATGTAAATGTCCCTGGGTAAAGTAGTCTTTAACTCTAGCATGACCACATTAACACAAAATATCAAGGTTTCCGCTACTCTTTTTCAAGTGATTAAGCGTGATCTACAGTCTGCTGGTTAGTGAGTCCCGATTGTCAAGATGGCCTCAATGTTGCGTAAGGACACATGTGTTAATGGATATTGTCAATCCCTCATCTGTAAGAAAAATGAAAACAAATAGGCCTCAGATCAGAGTTTCCTACTAATCCATCCATTCGCCCATTGTTCATTCGGTGCAAATGAGACAAGAAGACTACTGAAGTTGGGATTACAAGCAAACCGCGCCCAAGTCATCCACTTGCCGTTCCATTTATTATTTAGTTGCTTTTTATGGCTATTTATAGAAACTGTTGATTGACCTTGAACTTGAGGTGGCATAGTTGTTAAGGTAGGGTAGTATTTGATACGCAACCAACGCCATCTCAGCCAATCGGAATAGAGGGAAGGAGGGAGGAGGCAGGAGCCCTGCTTTACACTACATCAGAGGCAAAGGCGTTACCTACGAATTGTCAAAAAGGCTCACTTTACTTACCTCTGAATACTAGGAGAGGGTTTAGGGTAGAGAGCGTAGGCTATGAGGTTCAGCTAAATATTCCTGGGCTTCATTACCCTGCGCTTTCTAGCGACTGCCAAAATGCATCAACAAGGCGATTAATTGCACTTGTTATATCACTTACAGCTATATCTAAGCACGAACTATAGTACATTATCCCATTTGCTCGTCATAAGCAAACTTTCCGGATTTCATGGTGCCATCAGGAAGACAAGCAATTTAGCTCTTCCGCAAGTCCGAGAAACACTTGACAAGTTTGCCATCAGATTTACCTTTCAATGGAGGTGAGTAAGACGCAAACACTCCAGAGACTTGACAACTTCATACCTTTGTGCGAAAAATACCAATGCAATATGTGCTAAAAATTAAAAGTTATATGCTTAGATCAGGTGAGAAAGAAAGGAAACACAAGCTTTGGAGGGAGTCCAAGGAAGTGTAGGTGTGCGTGTAATAGTGATATAATAACTATGTACGGAAGATGTGTCACATGTGTGTCATACAATCACATACGGAAAAATGTATACTTACACATTTAAATAAAAGTTGTGTATTCATTGTTTTCTTCAATGGCTTTGGCTCAAAAGCAGCATCAGCAAATAATTTTTATTTGCTCTTAAGTAGTGGACTATTAAAAAACATTGTTACATAAAGGAAAACTCTATTCTTAAAAGTGTATTAAGGAGTTCCAAGAAAACAGTGAATCTAAGAATGCCATAACTGCTTCATACCCAGCCTGGTGGTGGGAAATGAAGCTGCTGCATAAGCGGCACACCAGCAGCGTCAGTGCAAGGACTACACCTTCCTGACAACAGTCTCGAATGCATAGATCAAGTTGCCCAATGCAGTGATTCAGTGACCGATGGATGGTCGGAAATATGTGGCATGTAGTTATAGGCATGCGACTACGGCTGTGGACGGCTACAGTGCCGACACCCCAGGCATCTGCACACACCACATCAGCCGGTTAGCCACTAGGGTGAGAGGCCAAGGTGCTACTTACATAAGATAAATCCACTAGATTTTAGTGCATGTTTTTTGCCTTGTAAAGGTTTTTAACTTTCACTTTTCGAATCCTTGGTTGAAATCCATTTTACTGATGCACCATTATTTCGTGAAATTTTTGTATTGATATAGGAATTTCCACTGTGCTTCCACGCTCTCCAGTTAACCCACCTGCCCTGCTGTGCTTATACCTTATCCTGCTTCCTTCATTCATCTTCATCCTCTTGGATTTGAGGCATTATCGGCGTGGTCTTAAATAAAGTGGCGTTGTTTGTCCCCAATTACCCAGTTATCAAAATATGTGTACTGTGGGCATCCAGCGAGAACGGTTTGAGCTATACATTGTTCCGGCTGTGACATTTGTGCCTTACCCGCACCTGATTGAGTGCAAGTAACTAAAGGTGTTCAATTGGCAATGACTCGACCCTATTTAACAATGCCATTCACGTTTTCGCTGACTTCAAGTGCGCCAAACGGTGATTGGTGTACCCAAATGTACTGTTAAGATAATTCTGTACAACTTACTGGATTTGTCAAACGCAATTTGAGGTACTTGAAAAGTCTCTCCTACTGTGTGCTTTGTCGCTAAGAATTGGCTGCAATGGAGTGATGATATGCTCTTTCGTTGACATCATTGACTATGTAGCCTTTTCGGTCTCCGCCAATTTCGGTTCTGCCAAAGTCTTACATTTAATAGCCAATGGAATCGGGTGCGATTTTTGAAAACGCTAGCTTCTTTTCTGCAGAATTTACCGTTTTTGGGGGGTACTTTCGAGTTGCCGTCTAAGGACCTCGGGATTTGACTGCCTAACTTCAAAAAATACCAAATATTCAAGGGCCATGATCTTGTAAAAATTATGTCGTTCATCCGTTTCTTGAGGGCAATGCAA